AACATATGCTTTCCTTCATATGTGGATCCTAGAACCAAACCCTGATAAGTGAGTATGTATCCAGACATAACTACAGGAACCAGGATAATGGAAAGGAAACAGGGAGGTAAAGGAAATGAAAGAACCTGAAAGAGAAGAACACTAGGAAACAGGCCTTAATAAGGGAGTTATGGATAAAAATTGTGTTAGTTTAAGGGAGGGGGAAGGGAAGGGTATACAAGGAAACTAGGAGATAAAGGGAAAGAAGGACATCAAGAGAGGTAGGACCATTGGAGAAGGGAATTAGTAAGGGAGAAAGGGGGGAAATGGGGGCACCTTAAGTTGAAAAACCATGATAGAGGGGTGAGACAATGTGAGAGATAAACAATTCCTATCTAGTTTTGAAAACCTGGGAGAACCATATTATTCCTACAACCTACTGACAAATTATACATAGCAGATCAAGAAATATATGTCTAGGTAAGGTTTATCTGAGAACAATTGCTCTTTGCCCAAGATTTATCTACATGACACACAGTAATTAAAAATATGGGACTGGTGGAACTAACATTCTTGCGTGTTTAACAGACATACTTTGAGGTCTAAAATAATTTGGTCAGAGGGACATACAAGACACTTTTTTCCTCCTTGCCCTCCAAGTCGACTAGGTCCAGAGGACTATGTGCATCTCTCAAAATGTCCTATAATGGTGGTGGGTCACCTGTCCTCTTGATCAAGGAGGCTGAGGAGACCCCACCTGATGGACTTGAACCAGTGTTCAGTCTATAAAGAGGAGGGTCAACACAGAGGAATCATTTCCTCCATGCTTCCAAGCGAGGCCAACCATGGTCGAGTAGGACCTTCGACTTACCTTCACATAGGTGGAACTATTAAAAGAAAGGAGCCAGGGGCTCCTGCCAAGCCCAGGTGACCACTGAGGAACAGACCCTCAAAGGATCTTAAGAATAAAAATAAATCGGTTTATCTGGACCATCTGTATGGTCTTAAACACCCAAAAGGAAAGTGTAACCAAAGATTAAAAGGGCCAATATAATTTCATAAGAGTCCATATGTATAGCTAAAGGCTACATAACAAGCAACAATGCCAGACAGGTGATACCTTCTTTTCAGTTGTTGGCCAGGGTGGCCAAAGGGACTCCAAGATAGTAACCCAGCATAGAACTGGGAAAATGAACAGCAGACCC